TGCGAGTTGTTTCGTTTTTTTCCTGTCCTCGAACGTGCGTTGTTCCCTTGGATCCCTTTTAGCGCGGGCAGGTTGAATGAGGACGAACCATCACGACGTTCGATTGCCCTTTAATAATAGAGATTATTTTCGTCGTTCGTGAGGCCAACCGACCTCAATGACACTGAAGTCAATTTCCTGTGCCATGTTTTTTTTTTTTACAAATGTCCTGTAACATGGTCACCTTGCCAAAATTTGTTTTCTCTGGAGGGAACTACACTGAAGCAAAACACGCAATTAACAGGCTAATAACCAATACAGATCGTCTGAGTGCTTGCACCAGATATATAAATGAGCTCGACAATGTGTATTAACATGTCTGGGTGGTGCAGTTGGTTATCACGTTAGTCTCACACACTAAAGGTCCCCAGTTCGAACCTGGGCTTAGACATACATCTCTTTTGCTTTTCCTTTGACTCTTAGATACGTTGCGCAAAAAGTTCGTTTGCAAGAGCTATCTCCTCATGGCTCACTGTCAAATTTTCTTTCATATCCCGTCAAAAAAAAACTTTCATATGTCTTTATGTCAACACAAATATATGGAGTAACAACAACAACTTGCCCATGTGCATAATGTGGAAAGTGAACTTATAGGACTACTCACAGTTGGCCAGCAAGGTTATTGGTTTCGTCTAAATTTACGTTATCTTTGGAGGATAAACACATTATCTTTCACTAACCAAATTCACATGTAGTATGCTCACAACTTCTCGTGAATGCTTTTAAAACCAAGTCTCAGCCACCCAAAAGCCTAACCGAAACACAACATGCATCATGTAATTATTATTTTTGTTGCATGATTATTCATTTGATGAACACTGATTAGGCAATACTGTATGGAGACTAACTATTATTTTTGTTGCATGATTATCTCCATACAGTTAATTCAAGTATCACCTTCAATTCCTTAAAGTGCCAAGCTACCATTAACTGCGGATTTGCCCATAGTCATCTCAAAATCTGTTCCACGGGCTAGAAATAAATGAAACCAACAATATATGACCAAGTGGCGCATGCCATAAGAATACGAGCACCTAAAGTGTTCATTATTCTATTTTACGCAGGTGTGTTGAGTTGCTTTATGTAAACTTAAGTACTACCTCCGTCTTGGTGAATAAGTATAACGAAAGAGATTTGGTTTTTATGAATTCATATTAGAGCATCTCCAATAACAGCCCTTAAATAGGGCATAGCAGTTTTTAGGGCACTTGGGGGGCGAAGACTGATCTAACAACTGCCCTATCATATTTTTTTTGTGAAAAAAATTGGGTAGCCCAGAAAAAGGACTCCAAGTGCTGCAAATATAGAGTGTTTGTGCGGCCTCCGTAAAACCACCCCCTCCCCATCGCCGCCCGAATCACAGTTGTCGCCTTCAAATCCGCGACCGCCGCACCCCCGCCCCTGTATTATCTACTCCTCCCACCTCGCCGCCGTCCGCCAATCAACTAAACCGGCGCCGCCCCCGCATCCCTTCCCGCCGCTCTGCCGTTGCAGAAATCCAAAGATCGAAGTCGGCTTGCCGAAGGTGGCAGGGGACTTCGGGAAGGGGGCAGGGGTGCCCCTTCGTTGCATCTGGCGACTGCATTGTGTGGCTGCCAGAGTTCCCATGGCCCGGATCTGGCCGCCAAGGCCACCAACCCTGCCAAGGTGTCCACTTTGGGATGGAAGGGAGGGGTCTTCTGCCCCTTTTTGGTCGGATGTATCCGTAGACGAGGGTTGGGCTCAGATGCTTGGGCAGCGGCCCTGATGGTGGTAGCCGGGGTGCTCGTGGGCGGAGAACGCGGCTCAGGCGCTGTCCGGTCACCATGGCCGTGTGGGCGGCATGGTGGTCGGGGTGTGTCGTTCAATGGCGGTGGTGCGGTAGTCCGTACCCCAATTTGGTGACGTGAGTGTTGGCCTGGGTGAAAACCCGCTCTGACTTGTCAGGCCGCCGCCGGCGGCGTTCTAGCATCGTCCCATTCTTGAAGGCGTCGTCGCCATATCTCACTTGTCGCCATGCTGCTCCGGGGGAAAGCCTAATCCTTGGATTGGGTGGTGGCAGCGCCTCGGTGTCGTTCCCTTCCTGAAGGCATCGCCTTGGAGCTCATTGTTCGTCATCCACGGTTTCTCCTCACCGCGGTGGCTCATCCACGGTTGAGGGCCCTGACGACTTCATGGTAGTGCTTGCTGTTTCATCCGGTGTTTGCTTGCAGTAGTTTCGGGTGGTGTTGTTGTTTTCAACGTCCTTGTATCTAGCCTTGGGTGTGTGTGTTGTGTTGGTGTGGGGTAGTCCTGGCCATGGGAAGCCCGGCTCGGCCCGAAAAATCCTGACCCGGCCCGGCCTGACGCTGCTCCCAGGCCGGGCTCGGGCCTAGATTTTGAGCCCGAAGGCCGGGCCGGGCCGGGCCCGGTCCCGTAGTTTTTGCAATTTGCTAAAGAGGCCCGACCCGAGGCCCGGCGGCTTTGGGCCGGGCTCGGGCCTAAAAACCAGGCCTGATGGCCGGGCCGGGCCGGGCTCGGGCCTGTGTTTTTTGACTCGGGCTTGGCTAGGCCCGGCCTAAAGCCCGGGCCGGGCCGGCCTGAGTTTTGGCCAGGTATAGTGTGGGGTGTGTGTTTGTATTGGTTTGTTCGGTGATGGTTGCTTTATATATAAAGCGGGGAAAAACCATTTTTCGTCAATAATCATATGTTGCTATCAGTTCAGACATTGCACTTGGCAAATGTAATCTTTTATGGGATTAGATGTGATTTTTCTGTTCCGTTATACTGATTGTAACATTAATGGGATATTGCGTGCAATGTTCTAATGCTAAGCTATTGTAAGTACTCATTGTGGTTTCAACATGATGCTTGGTATATGGAGTTCATAGCATTAATATGATGCATAAGCCTTTCCAAATTAATTCAACATATCTGAATTTTACTTTCCTCTCTTCTCTCGTGCTTAAGTTTCTCGCTCGTGTTTAGTATGATGCGCAAGAGAGTTGTCGCCCGCCGAGTTCCAACTCTGAAGGATGTGCATCTCATTTTACCTAAACCACGCTCCAAGTAGCAAATCCCGAATGGAATGATGTTTCTTTTCTTCTGGCACCGTCGATTACCAGCTTGTGTTCCAAAAAACACGATGACGGCGCAGTGCTGCTGCTGCCGGCCGTCACGACTGAGGCGGCCGGGTCGATGATGCTCTCCGGCTGGTTCTGTTCCGCGAAAGAGAAGCTGAGGCGGCTCCTGGCGGCATCGTCGGCACCGCCGGGCTGCTGCGTGACGGAGGGGACGCAGCATGTTTTGGAGGAAACTAACTATACACTGTGTTGTGTTTATACCTGATGGCCGGGCCGGGCCGGGCTCGGGCCTGTGTTTTTTGACTCGGGCTTGGCTAGGCCCGGCCTGAAGCCCGGGCCGGGCCGGCCTGAGTTTTGGCCAGGTATAGTGTGGGGTGTGTGTTTGTATTGGTTTGTTCGGTGATGGTTGCTTTATATATAAAGCGGGGAAAAACCCTTTTTCGTCAATAATCATATGTTGCTATCAGTTCAGACATTGCACTTGGCAAATGTAATCTTTTATGGGATTAGATGTGATTTTTCTGTTCCGTTATACTGATTGTAACATTAATGGGATATTGCGTGCAATGTTCTAATGCTAAGCTATTGTAAGTACTCATTGTGGTTTCAACATGATGCTTGGTATATGGAGTTCATAGCATTAATATGATGCATAAGCCTTTCCAAATTAATTCAACATATCTGAATTTTACTTTCCTCTCTTCTCTCGTGCTTAAGTTTCTCGCTCGTGTTTAGTATGATGCGCAAGAGAGTTGTCGCCCGCCGAGTTCCAACTCTGAAGGATGTGCATCTCATTTTACCTAAACCACGCTCCAAGTAGCAAATCCCGAATGGAATGATGTTTCTTTTCTTCTGGCACCGTCGATTACCAGCTTGTGTTCCAAAAAACACGATGACGGCGCAGTGCTGCTGCTGCCGGCCGTCACGACTGAGGCGGCCGGGTCGATGATGCTCTCCGGCTGGTTCTGTTCCGCGAAAGAGAAGCTGAGGCGGCTCCTGGCGGCATCGTCGGCACCGCGGGGCTGCTGCGTGACGGAGGGGACGCAGCATGTTTTGGAGGAAACTAACTATACACTGTGTTGTGTTTATACCTCTTCTCGTCGTTTCCACTGAAGGAAACACGCGACTGATAAACTACAATCAGATGAAATAGTACCTTGTAGGCTGGTGGCGCTTCGACGAAGAACAGATAACGGGGACTGATTCTGTCTTGGATAAATAAAAGATTTCCACTGCATAAACCACCATGTCTGGGTGGTGTAGTTGGTTATCACGTTAGTCTCACACACTAAAGGTCCCCAGTTCGAACCTGGGCTTAGACATGCAACTTTTTTTTGTTTACTTTTACAGATACGTTGCACCAAAAGGTCAGTCGCAACTCAACTTTTTTCCTTCACATGTTTTCATTTATTATCTTACCAAAATATACTGAGCGTAACACCTTCAGACCAACATGCCCATGAGAGCACAATGTGGAAGGGAAAACGTCATCGGCCACCGATCTCGCTCGCGATCATCGGTCTTGGATTGCTTGTCCGTTATTCAGAGAGTTAACTCCCCAACGGTTAATCGTTCTCCAGTCGGTACGGTGATTCCCAAGATCAAGGCCATGGTACTGGTGGACATATTGTTGTAGCTGAGCTCCGTGCTCTGATCGCTGAAGACAAGGAGTTCATTGTTGTTTGGTTTACTTGAGCGTGCAGATGTGTTGGCAACTTATGCAAGGGATAAAACAGTAGAGGTAGAAACCAATGGTCATTTGGGAAGTGAAAGCTGGCAAAGAAATGAATAAGGGGCAGGCACGTTGCTGACTTGGTTTTCATGGTAAAATATTTCTCCCACAAGCACAAATAGCTCCGAATAACTCATAACTCAAGTTACTGCAACCACTAAAGTATCTATCTGTCTCATCCGTCATGCTCACTGCTTGTCATTCGGGGGCATGGACCTCCAGACCCCGGCCAACAGGCTACCATAGACAGAGTGGCAGATGCTCGAAACCGCGCATGGAACCGCCGTGAGAGGGCTGCCGAAGTGCTTGCCCGCGAGAACCACACCCAGCACCGAGTTCTGCATCCACAAGAAATTCAGTATGATACACACACCAAAACTTCTCTAGAGATAACTAATATTATACATAATGAAACTGCGGTGTGCAATGGGAGAAAGAGCGCAGCATCGGTTATGTGCTTCCTTGGTTGCATTGATGAAAATGTAATGGGAGATATCTGGGCAACACTTAAGTCCATTGTAAAAATCTGCTGAAAAAAGCGCACAATAGAAATCACCTGCATGCCAACCTCGATCGAGATTGTTCGTGATGAAGCGATATCGATGCCAAGCACCCTTGAAAGAACATAGCCAAAGAAGAAGCCGGATCCATGCAAGAAGATGACCGACAGTACCACTTGTAGGCCAGATGCCAGGATGGCCGAAGCATTCTGTGCGATCGCATTGCCACAAAGAACAGCTACTGTTGCTACAGCAATGAACGGCATCACGGGAGAAACCGACTCAACCAAACGGCCCATGTACTGATTAAGCAGAGCACCCAAAAGAACAGGCGCTAGGACAACCTGCATTCAGATATATCAACCTTAGCCAGAACTAGGGGGACTTAAAGTTATAATACAGAAACTGTCAGCACCTGAGACGTCGACACGAACAGTCCCATAGGGTCTACTGCGACGTATTGCCCAGCCAGTTTGGATGTCAAAAGAGGAGTCATGAACTGCATTATCAGGAAAATAAACGTTATTCGACTCTGCCAGAATATAGTAATTGATGTAAGTGAGTCATTACCGCTGCAGCAAAAGTGCTTGCTGCTGTCATCAGCACCGAAAGAGCAACATTTGCCCTGGAACACAAGGATACAAATTAGTCTACACTATATTTTGGCGCTAATGAAAAATAGATGTTTAAAATTGTTTTCTCTTCCATTTTTGTACATATACGTAGCAATGTATAAAGTTTCAGATCCACTTTCATAACAGACAGTGATCTCCACTGAAGTATTGGAGATATTTAGTACTCCCTCCGTTTACAAATATATGACGTTTAACTTTTTTCTGAATCGGATGCATATAGACATGTTTTAGTGTGTTTGTTCACTCATTTCAGTCCGTATGTAGTCCATATTGAAATATTCAAAACATCTTATATTTGTGAAGGAAGGAAGTACTATAAAAATTATTAGTCAATGAGAAAACAATTTGTTCTTGTGATGCTTCTGCATCACTAAGTATTCAGTTCAACCATATTATTAGGATGCTAGGGATTAATCAACGATAACAATATTGTGATGCACCGAATGGGTCACTTGAATATTCATTACTGGCCAGTAATTGCTTTTTAAGCTCTAAAGATATCAAAGATAAAACCAAGTACAAGCATCTGGCCATATGGAACCTGACCCTGATTCCACCTTAATGTGTAGTCCTTATAAAAAACTACATTGTAATAAATCTATTTGTAAATTTAGTCAGAAATATAAGATCGCAGAGACAAAAGTGGTTGTGTTTCATTTCGGCAAACTGCTTAATGGTCCTAGTCGGTTGGCCCACTATAGGTGGGAAAGGCTTGTTAACTGGTGTGGACTCCTATTGGGGAAAGCACTATAAGAGCGCAGAGACGAAGGCATGCTGATTTGGCAGATGAACAGACATCTGGTAGCTGAGTCGGTTACTTGTCAAGTAGCAGGCTGGTAGCAGTCCGAGTTGGAGATGAAATATTGATGAAAAGCTTGAATTGAATTTTGTTTAGCACTCCAGAAGGAAGCCAGCTCAGCCAGCAGATCAAGGAGTAAGTAGGTTATATCACACAAGCTAGAGGAGTCCTAGTAAGGTTTATGTTGGCTGGTTCTCAAGTAGAAGTAGGTTGACTCAGGCTCTATAAAAGGAACAGCGTGTAACCTCATATGTTCCCTACCCGTGCTTCACTTCTACTCCCTCCGTCCAAAAAAGCTTGTCCCTCAAATGGATGTATCTAGAGGGACAAGCTTTTTCGGACGGAGGGAGTACCCTTCAGTGCTGTCTAATCCTCAACTCTTCACACGCTACATTTCTTAAGTAACAGTGCTGTAGTCGAAGCCGACTACAACATTACTAGTAGACTTCAGCGATTCCTTACCAAAAAGGGATTAATGATTTTAGTCACACGTAACCAACTTCTGCTAGCAGACAACACTAGACAGGCCAGCTTGAAAATTTGGTTATTCAACAATCTTGAGAAGAAATAACTCTCAGGAATCCCTATATATAAAACTATATTAACAGACTCGGAACAAATTAGTTTCAGTTAGAGGCCCAGAACTTTGTTCCAGTACGATCGTGACTATATGCAGGTTTTACATTCTCTCGTCCTTACCTTGCTAAGTAGGTAACAATGTTGCTTGCTGTGCCTGCAGAGAGTAGCTCCCTTTCAGTTTAACCAGCTGACAATATATAATTAATAAAGAAAGGGAAAATGCAAGCGTACCTCCAGGGCAACAGGAAACCAAAATCAGTCCAGCAGCATAATGGGATGGCAGGTTCAATAGCTTGCTGATGAGATATCCGGACAGTGGCATCACCTGTACATAAATCACCCACTTTGGATTTTTGGTGCAAATAGAATAGTCGTAAACCGCAAACACTAAAATAACAAAACCACAGGTATAATGGAGATGACTCATGGAGGCTTTCTTTTCTTTTTCCATTCTGAGGGATCATGAAGTTTACATGCGACGCGCCATCCAGTCCAACATTTCAGATAAGAAACTTTTATGGTTCATCTAAATGGACAACATTTGAGCTGGATAAAAAAAAATTGGAAATGAAAACCTTGTTGAATATCTAGGGTACGTGTTCCTTGGCCCTTGCATAAAAAATATTCCTATGAGATTTGCAATAGAAAAGACATGGAAAAGTGAAAGTATGGCTACAGGGTTTATTGCGACATCAAAAGAAACACTGAAGAAGTTGCAGAACTAACAGTGTACTGAAGTAGAAACCCAGCAGCTAACTCCTTGGGCATCAACAGCGCGGTTCTCAGGTCATCAAGCGTCAACGTCATCCCCATTCCTGCACAAAGGGACTACAACCATGTTTCAATCATAAAAATTCAGCCATCGAGACATCTCTGAACGTCTGAATTACTGCATCTCAACTGAGATGTACAAGCAAAAGAGGAGGAAGGAATAGAGAAGCAGGGGAGGGAGCAATGGACGGAGGGCACGAACCGAGCATGGTGAAGGACAAGCCGACCATCTGGGCGGTGGGGGTGACCCAGAGGAAGCTCGCCGGCCGCCACAGCGCGAGCGCGCAGGCCGACGCGACCCACAGCGGGAACCCGAGCGACAGCGCCTCCCCGACGCGCACCAGCGCGGCCCGCGCGCCGCCTCCGCCGGCGGAGGGCGCCTGAGAGAGCGCCGGCGCCGGATCTCCTGTCGCCGCATGGCACCGGCTCGATGGAATGCCGCGGAGGGGGCGGAGCGAGGGGGCCGCGCTGATGCGGAGGCGGGGAGAGGAGGGAGGGGGTCTGGTGAGGTGTATGTGTGGGGTGGCGAGGTGGAGGCGGTGGTGGGGGAGGGATGCGGCGGCGGTGGGACTGGGGGCGAGCGGTGGCCGCCGGAGGACAGCCATGGTGGCGGTGTGGAGTGGAGTGGGGTGGTGGGGAGTAGTGTAGTCTGACCAGGACGACGACCGAATCAGCACGGTGGGAGTTGGGAAGTGGAGCCGTTGAGTTATTTTTCTCCGGTTCCACGAGGGCAGGCTACTTGCTACTCCCTCCGTTTCTCAAATATTTGTCGAACTAAAACCACGACAAATATTTTGAAATAGAGCATATAGGACTATGAAAGTAAACGATACCCGTGTGTGCTGCAGTAATTAGTTGCGGTATATTGATGAGATTATACTCTATGAAATTTGAACATGCGAACTAGAACTAAAAATACATGTGAATATACATATGAAATCAAACATGATCAAGTAGGAGGAACAGTTCATTTCCAAACAGTAGGAACATGAACATGAGTAACAATGTGTTCATTTGCAAGAATATATATGTAGGGCCAACCGACTAGTCCTCCTAATTTAGCCGGGTAACCTAATTTAACTGCTTTAGTAGCTCATGATACTCCTTTCCAAAAAGGGCGAAACGCCAGCAGATAAACAAGTCTGGGTCATGGGGCTTATATTTAAAAATCAAAGATCTTTCTCCTAACCTTATCCCCACCAGCAAAGTATCTCTTGATCAGCTAAATTAGTGATACACAAGCAATTGTCCAAACTGGGCAATTGCATCAGAAGCAACGATGACCTTCATAACAGTCCCAGAAGCAATGCGAATGTGACATCTGGGAGTTTATATAAGAGTAATGGCCCAGGGTATTTAATGACACGAAGACAATTTGTATACTTCAGCAGGATTGGACAAGCACTAACTTTCCCTCCAGGAACTTCATGACATTAAGAAAATATTATGGCAAAAGCAAATTGCAATGTGATTAAGCTACGTAATTAACATGAACAATAAAGCAAAGATACATGAGTGCAATCCCGTCAGTCAAGTCAAGTAAATTTTCTGTTCAAAACATTTCCAGTCTATATGAACAACAGCTAAAGTATATGCAAATAGACGCACAGATGCACAGGCTGCCCTGCTAGTTCTTCTAATAACAGATGACAATAGCATCAAGATTCAAGAACCAACGACACACACAAAGAGTACCTTCAGACGATCAACTAAGCACGATAAACGAGATACACATTTTAGCGTAGCCGGATACTTTCAGAACCCAACAAGCCGATAAATAACATTGTATGTTGTCAATTTAGGCTACATAGCGTTGCACGAGTCTCGTCTGAACTACAAAATCCAAAGGCTCCTTGGTCAGATCGACCGCGATCAAGCTTCAGTCTGCTCCCTCAGGCGACGGATCGTGCTCCTGACAGTGACCGCACTGGCAGTGCTGGAAATGCAGAACAACAAGATGAGCACATATGGTAGAGCAGGACAATGAGCTATTTGGAAATATACAGTGTGTAATTGGCATCAGCACGTACTTCATGGTATAGGCACCACCGGCCTTAACCTTCCCGCAGTCCTTGCATCCCCAGATTCCGACTGCTTTCCTCTTCACGGCAAACTGTGAATCAAGAACGTGTTAAGATAAAAGAAACATTGAATCAAGCGAGGAGACTAACATGTTATCACTATTGACCTATCTATGAGTTATCGATGCTATCATCATTTCCATAGGGCTGGAAATGTGTAAAGAGACTAGAATAAAGAGCTGGTGGGCGCTGTTCCATATCTAGAGGTCTACAAGTGTTAAAAGAAGCAATAAGCATTAAACTTAACAGGGTTACAAAATCCATATGCATGTCCAATGACAATAGAAAGGACTGCAACAGCCTGCAATAACAATTCTTCATATTCTGCCAATCAGCAAGTGGGTAATATTAAACTAAATCATTTGAGAGTTATAAACGTTCATCATACAAAACAATCAAAAGCCGTTGTTCATTGTTCCCTATCTAGAAGGCCAGTGGTTAAAAGACGCAGCAGGCATTAAACTCAAACAACTCATGACAATACAAAGGGTTACAACAGCCTACAATATAAATTCTTTATGTTTTGCCAACCAGCAATTCAGCATATTAGAACCAAGTAGTTATCCTCTAAACCATCATCATGCAAAACAAGAGCACATAACCTATACAATTATGCTGCATTTTTTTACTCACAAAAAGATATGTGCTAATTTCAATGTAGCCAAATGCCAAAAACACTTGTCATACAACATAGATGCTCAGTTGAACCACCAGCAGACACTTTACCATTCTAAACACAACGCAAGTAATCAATAAAACCATCGAAAGATTTACCTTGCCACAGAACTCACAGAAGTACTTGGAGTGCTGGGAGACCTCCATCTTCTTGATCTGCTTACGAAGACTGGCACCGTACCTGGTACCTACACAACATTGAAATAACAAGGACACGTGAGTACAATAGTTACACATTCATGAGGTTGTTGAACAATGATCTGGGCAGCCGCAATGTTTTTACCATATTTGCCAACGATTCCAGCCTTCTTGGTGCGCTTCGTCTGCACATACATCAGAAACATTAAGAAATTAAAACATTTTTCCACAAGTATAGCAAAACAGCAAAATGATTTACTATCTACAGAGGCAGCATCAGAAAATAATTTATAAATTTCACATATGGAGTTGATACAGGCAACAGCAATGTATGACCAGTCATACATAAAACATCAGGATAATATTATCAGTTGTATGACAAGCACGATGTAGATCATAGCAAATTAGCAATGTATAGAATGAACACAACAGTGAGGAAATAACTAGTGCTGCCCAAGGCCTCATGCTAACCAATCGAGCTTTGGAAAAATGAAGGCTGAAGCTCAGATTTCTAGTGGTAAATCTTGGAGCAAACGGTAAGAGTTGCATCCATGCTAATAGATAACTATAACAAACCAAGGATAGCATCAAAGTTTCATACTTCCATTTTATGGCAATTAGTCCACCACTGAGCATATCATATTAGTAAAACCGGTCCCAGAAGTGGAAAATCTAACTATAGGAACACCTTAACATCCTCTTTGACCACTTCATAATACAGTATAATTGGGCAAGCCGCAAATCTTACCAAGCAACACCAGATGAAAAATAAAGCCGCCGGCAAGTTTACTCTAGATCTGACAGATGCTACGGCTTCAAGGATGATTTCTCAGCGAAGCAGACCAAAACCACGAGAAAGACTAGTAATTTCGAATCCTTATTCATAGATCCCCGTGTGCAAGCCACTCAGACAATCGCAAACCTAGATGCTTCCTACACCCCACAGGCAGGCACGAAGGCTGAAACACGGCATACGGAGGAGCACGGATCAGAGCCGCCATAGGTAACAGTGAGGGGAGAGCGTACCATCTCGCCGGCGAGGAGGAGGCGTCCGCGGCAACGGGCGGCGGCGGCAAAGAGGGCAGGGAGGCGGCGGCGCGGGCGAGAGGTCTCGGAATGGAGGCGGCGTGCTAGGTCTTATACGTGTGGGAACACGGATGGGCCTCGTTGCTGCGCCGGTGGGCTGGGCTAAGGCTTATCAATCCTACTTAGCCCATAAAGCTAGGTGTAACCACTAAAAAAAAGTGAGGTGTAGCCCAACTAGACTATGGGCCACATGAGAGTTAAGAAACACCAAAATTCAATTATTATTGTTACTAGGACATATGCCCGTGCGTTGCAACGGGAGTAATAATTGACCTGCTCATCAAGACATCTATCATGCCGCAGGGAGGCAGACGCCTCGATGAATTAAGAACCATACTATAGATACAATACTTTTGGTATGATTTCTATACCATACTTTCGATAGCACAATGCATGAATAAATTAACATGAATGATAAGTACCTGATGTCAGGTATGAGCACATGGCACATCGAACATTTTCGATAGCAATTCTTGACACAAGGATGGCAAGTTAGACACACAAGGCAATTCTCTGTCAAAAATAAATTGAAACATGAAGTTAGCATGCTTGCTAACTAAAATTATCACCCTCGGGTCACTAAATTCGTCATAAAAATGTTTGATTTGTCATCTGTTCGTACCTGACGGACATTATTAGATTCCTAATTAAAGTGCGCCAGAATAATTAATAAACAAAGTTAATTAAAAAGGGCATGCACACAAAGTTAATAAAAAAAGTATGCATTGTGTCCCCAAATATCTTGCCCCACATTGCAAGGACGGAAGAAGATCCGAAATTGCCCAAATAAATGCATGCGTGCCCCTCTCCAGCTAATTTTCATAAGCCAACACATAAATCTATTTAATTAGAGGCAATCAGCACACAGTTCCATTTTAGCCAATTCATGCGGTAAATGCGGCGTGCATGTCCTCTTTTATGCATGTGTGGCATCTGGCGACCAACACGTGTTCTGATCAGCCCCATCACTGAAACAGTGCTATTTTGTTTTACTTATTTCCCTTAACTTATCTCCTGGACTCTTCTAGCTGCCTCAGCTCCAGCTCCATGAGGCGTTTCCCACAAGGCCACAAAGTGAGACCGTGAGATGCAGACCACCGTCCGGGGCCCTCGCCGACGCCGGCGGCAAGTAGGGACGCGTTGCGGTAGCAAGGCCCGCATCCGGCGCATCCAATCCCGGGACTAAACTGTGGCAGCTGCTCCCTTGCCTATGTTCTCCTCAGTTCGAGCTCAGAGACAATTCACACAAGGTGAGATGCGGTCTGCCGTCCGAGGCCGCCGCCGTCGCCGGCGGCAGGGCGAGAGCTATGCTGTGTAGCACCGTTTGCATCCGGCGTGCCCAAGTTGTGGCAGCTGCTATTGGAAATATGCCCTGGAGGCAATAATAAAAAGGATTATTATTATATTTTCTTGTTCATGATAATTGTCTTTTATTCATGCTATAATTGTGTTATCCGGAAATCGTAATACATGTGTGAATACTTAGACACCAACATGTCCCTAGTAAGCCTCTGTTGACTAGCTCGTTGATCAACAGATAGTCATGGTTTCCTGACTATGGACATTGGATGTCATTGATAACGAGATCACATCATTAGGAGAATAATGTGATGGACAAGACCCAATCCTAAACATAGCACAAGATCGTATAGTTCGTTTGCTAGAGTTTTCCAATGTCAAGTATCTTTTCCTTAGACCATGAGATCGTGTAACTCCCGGATACCGTAGGAGTGCTTTGGGTGTACCAAACGTCACAACGTAACTGGGTGACTATAAAGGTATACTGCGGGTATCTCCGAAAGTGTCTGTTGGGTTGACACGGATCAAGACTGGGATTTGTCACTCCGTATGATGGAGAGGTATCACTGGGCCCACTCGGTAATGCATCATCATAATGAGCTCAAAGTGACCAAGTGTCTGGTCACGGGATCATGCATTACGGTACGAGTAAAGTGAATTACCGGTAACGAGATTAAACAAGGTATTGGGATACCGACGATCGAATCTCGGGCAAGTAACATACCGATTGACGAAGGGAATTGTATACGGGGTTGCTTGAATCCTCGACATCATGGTTCATCCGATGAGATCAACGAGGAGCATGTGGGAGCCAATATGGGTATCCAGATCCCGCTGTTGGTTATTGACCGGAGAGCAATCTCGGTCATGTCTACATGTCTCCCGAACCCGTAGGGTCTGCACACTTAAGGTTCGGTGACGCTAGGGTTGTAGGGATATGTATATGCAGTAACCCGAAAGTTGTTCGGAGTCCCGGATGAGATCCAGGACGTCACGAGGAGTTTCGGAATGGTCCGGAGGTAAAGAATTATATATAGGAAGTGCTATTTCGGCCATCGGGACAAGTTTCGGGGTCACCAGTATTGTACCGGGACCACCGGAAGGGTCCCGGGGGTCCACCGGGTGGGGCCACCTATCCCGGAGGGCCCCATGGGCTAAAGTGGGAAGGGATCCAGCCCAAAGTGGGCTGGGGCGCCACTTTCCCCTAGGGCCCATGCGCCTAGGGTAGGGGAAACCCTAAAGGGGGCGCCCCCTTGCTTGGGGGGCAAGCCCCCCACCCCTTGGCCGCCGCCCCCCCCTAGGAGATTGCATATCCTAGGGCCGGAGCCCCCCCCCTAGGCTCCCTATATATAGTGGGGGGGAAGGAGGGCCTCTCACCCCACGCCTTTGGTGCCTCCCTCTCCCTCTCCAACACCTCCTCCTCCTCCATAGAGCTTGGCGAAGCCCTGACGGAGTACTGCAGCTCCATCACCACCACGCCGTCGTGCTGCTGCTGGAGCCATCTTCCTCAACCTCTCCTTCCCCCTTGCTGGATCAAGAAGGAGGAGACATCACGCTGACCGTACGTGTGTTGAACGCGGAGGTGCCGTCCGTTCGGCGCTAGAATCTCCGGTGATTTGGATCACGTCGAGTACGGCTTCCTCATCCCCGTTCTTTGAACGCTTCTGCGCGTGATCTACAAAGGTATGTAGATGCAATCCGATCACTCGTTGCTAGATGAACTCCTAGATGGATCTTGGTGAAACCGTAGGAAAATTTTTGTTTTCTGCAACGTTCCCCAACAGTGGCATCATGAGCTAGGTCTATGCGTAGTTCCTTTTGCACGAGTAGAACACAATTTGTTGTGGGCGTAGATGTTGTCAACTTTCTTGCCGCTACTAGTTGTGGGATGAAGTAGCCCGGACCAACCTTACACGTACGCTTACGTGAGACCGGTTCCACCGACTGACATGCACTAGTTGCATAAGGTGGCTGGCGGGTGTCTGTCTCTCCCACTTTAGTTGGAGCGGATTTGATGAAAAGGGTCCTTATGAAGGGTAAATAGAAGTTGACAAATCACGTTGTGACTTTCACGTAGGTAAGAAAACGTTCTTGCTAGAACCCTATTTCAGCCACGTAAAACTTGCAACAACAATTAGAGGACGTCTAACTTGTTTTTGCAGCAAGTGCTTTGTGATATGATATGGCCAAAGTTGTGATGAATGATGAATGATATATATGTGATGTATGAGATGTTTATGCTATTGTAATAGGAATCACGACTTGCATGTCGATGAGTATGACAACCGGCAGGAGCCATAGGAGTTGTCTTTATTTTTTGTATGACCTGCATGTCATTGAGAAACGCCATATAAATTACTTTACTTTATTGCTAAACATGTTAGCCATAGTAGTAGAAGTAATAGTTGGCGAACAACTTTATGGAGACACGATGATGGAGATCATGATGATGAAGATCATGGTGTCATGCTGGTGACAAGATGATCATGGAGCCCCAAGATGGAGATCAAAGGAGCTATGTGATATTGGCCATATCATGTCACTTTTATTATTTGATTGCATGTGATGTTTATCATGTTTCTGCATCTTGTTTACTTAGAACGACGATAGTAAATAAGATGATCCCTCATAATAATTTCAAGAAAGTGTTCTGCCTAACTGTGCACCGTTGCGACAGTTCGTTATTTCGAAGCACCACGTGATGATCGGGTGTTAGATTCCAACGTTCACATACAACGGGTGTAAGATAGATTTACACATGCAAACACTTAGGTTGACTTGACGAGTCTAGCATGTACAGACATGGCCTCGGAACACAGAAGACCGAAAGGTCGAGCATGAGTCGTATAGAAGATACGATCAACATGAAGATGTTCATCGATGTTGACTAGTCCGTCTCACGTGATGACCGGACACGGCCTAGTTAACTCGGATCATGTTATACTTAGATTATTGGAGGGAT